TGTCCGCGGTCTGTCCGTGCTCCCAGCCCGGTCCCACGGGGCCCAAGGGGCTCCCACGAAGGGTGAGGGGCGGCTTTTCCACCAGGGACCGATGGCTGCAGGCGCCGGGATGCCCGAGCGTGATCTCGATCCCAACCTCATCCCCTCGCTGGGCAGCCACCCCTGGGAGCGTGGTACCCCAGAACTGCGGCCATCGGGGCTCCCCGCCTTGGGTACCTCCAGCAAGGACGCGTGCTCGGAGCAAGCGTGCGGCTCTGGCCTGACTTTGACGGCAGCGACTTCTGCCCGTAATGAGGCATAGCCCAGTTTCAGGTGGAGTTAGCCCCGGGGGAAACATGAAGCCAAACTTCTGTTCATCAGAAACTGGGTAATGAGGCCGTTTGGGTTATTTGTAGCTCTCTGTGGGCTGGGATGGCCTCTCCTACCTCTCCCCAGGCAGAATCCCTCCTGCAGGGACCCCAGATCGTTTTGCCAAGCTCAAATTGCCCTGATTTGTGTTTGGAGAATCCAGGCTGTGAGTTAACCTGATGGGTGCCTGCAGCACTGGGTGGCACACCTCACCAGTCTAGAGGAATCTGATTGTCCAGTTTGGTGCCCAGAACCAGAATTTCTGCAACATTGATCCAAACTTCCCCATTTTTGAAGGGGTGCACCTGACCCCATGGGATACAGGGCCAGGACAGCATCTCTCTTTGGGACTCTGTGGGTTTTGCAAGCGGGGCTGCATCCAGCCTCTGCCTGTTCATCCCTGTGCATCTCTGCTTTAATGCCAGCCCCATCTGGCTTCTGCTTCCCCAGGGGCTCGGTCACCTTGGGCCTGGCGGCAGGGAGCAGCTGAGCTGCAGTGATCGGTGCTGTGACCTTGGCCAGCGTCCTTCAGAGCAGGCATCCTTCAGAGCCAGCGTCCTTCAGAGCAGGCATCCTTCAGAGCCAGCATCCTTCAGAGCCGGCCTCGCGTGGCTGAGTCCTCAGGCTGCCTGTGTCCGGGCCAGACTGTGTGAAGGTGCAGGGATGCACATCCCTGTGACCCCCATTAATCCACTCTGGCTGTCATGGGCAGCCTCCTCCGAGTGCACTGTCACTGCATCCCTCAGCCCGGGGCAGAAGCAGTGCCTGCTCCCCTCTGCTCAGCCATTCAGGTCACTCCTGCATCGATCGGGTCTGGAGTGTGCTGATAAACCAGCTTTGGAGACACAGGGCCACAGGGAGACTGAAAGTCCATGTCTGAACAGGTCTGCATGTCATGGGGCTGCCCGAGCGTGTTCCCAGCCCCAGCCTGCTCCCAGCAGGCTCTCCCCGTGCACTGGCACAGTCTTTGCTTTGCACCACTCGTCCTCCCGCCGTGGGTCAGACCCCTGTCTGGGGGTCCCTCTGCTCCCCCTGCTCCTTGCACAGCCCAGGGCCAGGCTCCCCCAGGGGGGCTGCACCCTGCCCTGGGCCACCCCACTCCCGTGCCCCCTGGGGCACAAGCATGGCCGTGCCTCCACGGAGAGTCACAGATGTACCCAGCCTTTTCGGGCAGCGACGGGCAGGCTTCTCCTGTGATTAAACCAGTCTGAAGCCCCACTTCATCACTCCAATTGCCCTGTCAATAACTGGGCATTAGAGAGGGCTGCTGGACCAGTTCTGGCGCACCGACACCTCCCCTGTCAATAACCTTTGGATTTAAGTCTGTGCCTGGGAGCATCTTTGCTTATCTCAGCTCCCTGAAGCACTTACGTTCCCGGCCATCATAACTCCCTGCCTGTAAGTGGAGACCGGCACTATCAGACCTGCAGCAAACAGCTGCTGCAGCAAGTTTTGCTAGCAAAAGTGCAGCGAAGGTGTTTTCCACCAGCTCTTTTGCAGGTGAGCTCCTGCAGGCTGCCAGGCCAGGGCTTGGCATGGAGATGGGTGCAGCCCCCCCCCCCAAGCCCCCCCATCCCCTTTCCCTAGCACCCCTCATGCCTCTGGCAGCCACGTGCGCTCTCAGACCCCTCCAGAGCGAGGGCAATGCAACGATTTATTTTTACACAGCCCATTTCATTTATCATCAGTGCATCAGAAAGCGACAATTCACCTTTCAATGCACCAGCTGAAAAAAAAAAACCCACCCGGCTCCGCTCTGCTTGGCAGCACCTCAGATTGGCCCTTTCCTGAGGCTGGGTGTTTAGCAGAGACTTAGAGCTCAATCTGTTTAGCTTATCGAAAAGTAGCCTGAGATGTGACTTGATTACAGTGTGCAAGTACCTTCCCAGGGAGAAAACCGCCAGGTATTAAAAGGCTCTTTAACTTAGCTGAGAAGGGAATAATAAGAACCAAGGGCTTGCAGATAAAAGTCAGACAAATTGAAACTCAAAATCAGGCGCAGGTCTGCAGCAAGGAGGGCGCAGAGCCGCTGGAGCAGGATCCCGGGCACCTTTCCCAAGGTGATGCCCTGGCTGGACCGCGGTGCCCGGGGCTGGGGGTCCTGACCTAGGGGGACGCCTCCGTCCTGCCCCTGTGGCTCTGATCCTGCGTGGACGTGGGCTTGGGTGGTGGCAGGATGAGTCCGGTGGCGTCTGTGGGCGAGGGGGATGGAGGACTGAATTTTCCTTCCCAGGCACATCTGAAAATCTCGCTGCCACACGGTATCTCTGCCAGAGCCCGGGAGCACGTCAGCCCCCGGGGTGACCTTTCCCGGGACAGCTGGAGCCTCCCTTTCTGTACCAGGGGAAATTCCAGCCTGGTGAAAACCGCTCATTGTGTGGAACTCGATCCTGAAAACCAAAAGCCCTCTCTCCACATTGCTCCTGCCTCCTTTCTCCTCCACTGCCGGGAGTGCAGGGGAGCCCACAAAGTGCATGGGGACATCCTTGTCTTGCTCCGCTCTGCCGTCCTCGTGACCGACGGCTGCACGTCTGGCGATTCCCTGCCAGGAGTTAATCTTGACTGTTAGCATGTCAGGTTGCCAGTGGATTAAACAAGGGGATTAGCATCAAACAATTTCCCTCCCACTCTGAGTTGGGAGGCAGGAAATATAATCACTGCCGTTTTATTCTGCTTAGGCTAAAAAAGCTCCCTGGCAAGTAGCCGGGCGATGCCGGCTGTGCCGGTGGCACAGGGAGGAACGTGCCCAGGGTGCTGCAGGAGCAGCACTGCCCCTGCCACCCATGCGTCCCTGCTGGCATGGTGACGGGGATGCCAAGACCAGGGGCTGCTGGTCCTGGGGGGCTCGGGGAGGTGTCCCAGGTGTCCAGGTGCCCTGGGGTGCTGGGTGCAGCTGCAGCTGGAGCAGAAAAACAGCCGTGAGGGGTGCCTGTGCGCAGGGCTCGGGGTGCGGGGGCCATTTACCAGATGCCCCCGAGGAGGGCACAAAAGCCAGGGCTGGAGAGGGGGAGGCTCCCAGCCCCCCTGGCAGTGACCGAGCCGCCCCAGCACTTGCCAGCCTGGGCTCAGCTGTGGACAGCAGAGGATGGAACAGCCTTGCAGGTGCGAAAGCGAATCTGTCTTCCCAACAGCTCCCAGGTTCCGGAGCCAGGGGACAGTGACGCAGCTCTGATCCGATGGCTGCGGTGCTGCAGACTTGCCAGCTTTCATCCCAAGCTTCCTCGGCACCTGCGGTCACAGGATCCACCGTCAGCACCGGGGCACGGCACTGCCCTCTCAGACACTGTGTAAAAAGTAAAATAAACCCTCTAATCCAGGGTTTGTGTTTGATAAAAAGAACTGGAGAGGAGCTCGGCTGGTGGCAGGGGCAGAGCTGCCAGCCCCGTGCTCGGCACAGAGACTCGCCGTCCCTTCGGACCAACGCGCCGCGGGCGAGGAGCCAGCCTTGCAGCCCCGTGTCCTCTTTGGCCCAAATCTCGGTCCCTGGAGGTTACTGGGCTGCTTTCGTCTGAGGAGCATTTCCAGGGCAGCCAAGTCCCCGGTCAGCCGAGGGGGATGGGATCGCTCACCGAAACCAGCGGCTGGACTGTGGGCTGGCAGAGGGGCCGGCACCCCGGGGGGGCTCAGCACCGTGCTTTGCCCTGGGGAAAGTGGTGGCCCAGCAGTGGTGGGTGGGCTGGGGTGGGGCTGCGAGGAGGAGGAGCACAGTCATTTGCTGGGAATGAGAGTTATTAAAACAGAGTTATTCCCAGAGAGGGATTTGCCATGTGTCTCCTTCTCCTCCGGTGATGGGCTGCCTGCTTCTCCCCCACCCGAGACGGGACCCAGAGAAGCTGTGGGCTGCTCCCCAGCAGCAGCACAGGCAAGAGATGGCTCCTCTCCCTGCTGCTGCCTCCTCTGTGAGAGGGGAAGCTCTCATGCATCTCCCGCCTCTCTGGGCTCGCTGCTTTTAGGGAAACTCATGGAAACCCCCTCTCCCTAAGGCCAGTCAATCGGCTGAAATCAGCCAAAAGGTCCAGGGCGGGTGCCGATGCATGGGCAGAGGCTGCCCCATGCATGCACACCTCACTTTTCTAGGAAGCCGGGCTAAAAATATTGTCCCAGGGCTGTGCGGTGAAAGGCTGGGCAGATCCTCAGCTACTGGAAGCCCGAGTGATTTACAGCCCCTGCGGGATCCCAGCCCCGCTGTCCCTGGGGCTGCGCAGGGACAGGGATGATCCCGGCACGCAGCAGCGAGGGCCGAGGCCAGGGCACGGCTCCGTCGGGCAGAAGAGCAGGGGGGCTGCGGGTAACCCCCTTCCCCAGTGCTGCCAGGGCTTTTGCCTCTCTTATTCTTGCCATTTTTTTAGGTGACTCTGCATTTGGCCTGCGCAGGACGCAGGGAAGGGAGGGGATGCAGCACGGTGCGGCTGAGACCCAGAGCTGGCTCAGTGGGTGCCGGCACAGCCGGGGGCCCACGGGGACCCACGGCACAAGCTGCAAGTCGGAAAATTCCCCAACAAAATTTCATGCACTAAATCTTAGGGCTGCGATTCTGCTGAGACCTGGCTTTATAATTGGATCTGTCAGAAACCCGTCACACTTCATGTGCAGCTGCCAAGGCACCGTGCGGGCTCCTCGCCGCGCTCGGCGGCCGGCGCAGGCTCTGCCCCTCTCCCTGCCCCTCGGTGGGCAGAGCCCTGCGGGCACCGCGGGCTCCCCAGCCCAGCCACGCTGCCCGGCCAGGAAAACCTTGTCCTGACGTGCCCATTGCCCCAGCCCGCTACAGAAACCTTCCCAACTGCTGCTGCCCAGCCCGGTGTTGGGAATGACTGCAACGGGAGTTTCTGCTCATCCCACCCATTCCCGACACCGACCCCTCC